TTTTAGTTTACGTCACAAGGGATTCATTTTATGCGTGGATGGATGACGTCAACATGAGGTAACAAGCTAGTACCAAAAACCATTTTTATATAATGTCATGAATTCATGAAACGGCTAGGCTATCTCATCACAATATTCTCGATGCGCCTTGACAGGATTACCTGAAAAATATTAAGAAATTGAACAAGTGTGGTGAAAATGTACTCTCCGTAAAATAGAACGACTCAATCAGGATAAAGGTAAAATGCATTGAGACATCTATTTAAGCAAGCTCACGGAACACTTTTATTCAAAGCAAGCTTAAGTCATAATTATATACAATAGGCGAAAACTGATACAGGTTTCGATAAAATGCATTGGAAAGTACGAATAGGTAATTAAGCTGTTGTTTCGATCCTTGCACTCGAGGCCAAATGACAACTCCTTTGGTAATATTCTATTATGTATTTGGTATAACGTATGAATGCCAATTTCTCGTATAAAAGGAACATAAGGGATCGATTTTTGTATGTATTTTAAAAATCCATGTTTATATGATCTATTCTATACTTACTATCGATACTATCGGGTTTTTTAATCCTCGAGCTATTCAGTGCTTTTGCGTCTGCTCCTGACAAATTAGTTGGGGTTTATTATAATGTGCTTGGTAATAATGATACGACCAACTCAAAAACTGGGCCAATTTCGGGTTCCTTACAGAGTATAACCGAGGGTTTTGTGTTAAGCCTAAGTCACACACAGCGAATGTACACATGCAACAAATCGTAACGACTATTCGCTTCCTTAAACAATATTATGAAACCGTCCTCCTTTGCGTTTTTTTATACTTTATAGCAAAGAGAATGTAATCACTACGTTTATAGCTCTATGTTTATGCCTTATATGTTTACAGTTATATGCTTTATAAATCTCGTGTCCCACAGCTCTCCATATTATTTACAAATACCCAAGAAACTAATTGTACCGTAATTTCTTCACTTTAGACAATCTTTTTTGGTGGCTCAACGTATCGATGCGGGGCAGCGACGAAACGAACTTGTAGAAGGGGCATGTAGTAATTCAGCGCAACTCGCGAAAAATGAATCTAATTCGCAGTGAACAGCCTGCCACATACAGCTAGTTCACGCTTTGCATATTCGCTGTGTGTTACAAAAGCAAAATAATTAATTAATTATGAAATTATTTATTATTACATGACATGAATATAAATATCATTTCGTTTATTTTATAAAGTGAACAACGTAATTTAGACTTGCTTGTTATTTTTGTACAATGAGAAATGAGTCAGGCCTTTTGAATTCTATACACGAGCATTGTAGAACAATCTGTGTTAAACGAGGTCTAATTGACTAAATCGACAGGCATTTAAAAATATTCAAATTAGGTTTAACAAGAATTCGATTGTGGGCTTATAAATACCAGTATCGATATTACAGGCTTTGTTGAGTTTGGAAATAGTTAACGTTGACATATTTATTTGTCGCAGATAACAATGCATTTTAATGAAATGTCTTAGATAGACAAAACGCGAATGGACACGTGCACTCATGATTTTTCTTTGTATATCTGCTGTGGATAACAAAAACTCAACACCGACGGTCATTGAATAATCAGACCGAGAAACAAGTGACCAAAAATATTTATGCTCAGTGGATAAGTTTTTTCCCTGATAAGAATACTTGGAAACCCGAATAATAACTACATCAGATTTACCATAACAAGCAAGATCTGCATGCTCACTAATCTCGTTTTTATTCAATTTATATGAAAGACACGCGCTAATAAACATTTATGACGTGTCCAACGACCCTTTTATGATCGCATAATGTATGACTTCCGGTCACAACATGATTCGAGATATAATCTAAGGCAATGATGTTTTATTAAAGATGACGCATGCTGCGCGGCGTTTAAAATTTATCCGCTTTACATCATATGAAATAACTAGCTTTTCGCCCGCGGCTTCGCTCGCGTTGAAGCCCTTATAAAATATCTTTCTTTAACCTTTCAACCCTTTACTTAACTATATTACTAATTATATTACATTAGTTCCATCAGTAACAGTTAAAATTCTAGGCTGTCACTCATATTCATGACACAACTGTTTCTGAGACCATCTATAAAATATTTATTGTAACCACGAATTTTATATTTAAAAGACATTAAAAAAATTTGATGTGATTTCTTTTTCGTTTTTTATATATCTTTTAAATAAAGTTGATCTCATATGTTAATATTTGATCAAAATCTCGCTTGATCAAGAATAAAGGGTCAGTCGCTGCAACTTGTTAATAAATATAAAAAGGATGCATAAATATATTTAAAGTATATAATGAAATTTAAAATTGAGGTAAATACTAATAAAGTACTATGTTCAAATTTTATCACTTGAACAAATCTTATCTCAAAGTTGCCAACAAATGTATGCTGACGATGCACCAGATGGTATACCGGCGTTAATTCTGAAGGCTTATGCCCTCTATTCTGAAATGTCCTAAGCCCTGAAAGCTGGCAATTGTGCAGCCTATTCCCAAAAGGGCAGTCGTGCCGATAATACCAATCATAGAACAATTTCAATTACCTCCATATTCTGTAAGATTATGGAGAGTAAATTGAACCAAAAACACAACTATCTTCTCATCGACCGCCAGTACAGATTTTGCCGAAATCGCTCAATTGGGGCGAGGGCCCCGAGAACAATGGTGAAGCACTTGCGGTTTCCCTAGATAGGGACCGTCCATTAATCACGAGAAGCTCGAAAGGGGGGAGCGGATTTGGCAAAAATCACGAAATATCACAAGGGCGGTGCTGAGGGTGCAATATGATATCACGTGTATTTAATTTTTCTTCTCTAAAATGAAAAGCGCCGTGACCTCAGCTCGCCGTTACATTTTTATCATGGTCCTTAACTTCAGAAAACTGGATGATACTTTATACCTGTATTTAAAAATGTTAAGATTCTTTTTAGGATGCCTAATGGAATGGGTAGAGGACTTTCTGAGTGAACGGTCTCTCAGATTAATCGTCGAAGGTCAATGAGGACTATGCCGGAGTTCCTCAGGGGTCTCCCCAGTTATCGAAACTCCATTCTTGCTGCTTATTAACGATCTGCTCATGTCCGGTGTCTATGGGTACGCAGACGCACGGTTGTGGAGACGCCAACCGAATATTCGGGTCGGTAGAGATCTCATCCAGTCTGAAAGAAAAGCCACGGAAGAGGGTTCGAATCTTAGATTGCAGGCGGTCTCTGGATGGGGCATTGCAAATCTTGCGATATTCAACGCCTCCAAAACGCAGGCGTGTTCCTTTCCGCAAAAAGGAGCCCTTTATCTTTTTTTTTTGTAAAATCATTACCCGTACTTTAGGAAATGTCCTTACATCACAGGACATTATCCTGTGTTGTAATGACATTCATAAACTTCAAGCCGACAAACACTTAGATGCGAAACAACTATCTGTGGGTCACACATATAGTTGTCCCGTGCGGGAATCGAACCCGCGACGCCGAAGCCAATATCTTGGCAACTGCACCACGGGGTGCTCAAACCTTGACTTTGACTTTTAGGTTGCGGAATGTGTCCTTGGATTATACAGACCGCCTTCAGTTGTTGGGGGTCGAAATATCCTCAAAGCTCAACTGTGCGTGGTTCATCGAGTCTAAAGTCAGAGCAGGTGCAAGGAAGATAGGCATCCATGCAAAGGTGAGACGGTATTTCACAACGGGACAACTTCTTACTCTATACAAAGCTGGAGTACGATCGTGTGTGGACTATTGCTGTCATATCTGGGCTCGGATTGCAAAAGGTCATCTAGCTGCCTTGGATTGAATTCTTGTTTAAAACCAATCTCACCAGCCTTGAGCACGGACGCACAGTAACCAGCCTCTCGGTTTTCTACAGGATGCATTGGAGTAGCATGATTTGATTCCTCCCATCATCGGAAATAACTAGACGTTCGGCAGCACTCCACCCATATGCTGTCGACATACCATGCACAGGAACGGAGCGATTCATCATCCGTACAACTTAGGAATGGATCAACCTGCCGGCGTCCGTCTTTCCTTCCGATTATAACGCAGGCGTCTTCAAGGCAAGAGTGAATAGGTTTTACTGAGCTAGCGCACTTGCCATCAACGGCAGCATCGCCACTTACCATTGGGTGGCCATCCCACCTGATGGTCAGTCAAGCACTGGCCATTTTTGAATTAAAAAAAAAGTAAATGGGAGTAATCTCATGCACTGATCCATCCATAAAAAGAAATGTTTATGTACAAATTGTTATATTTTATCATTATAAATTTATCCCACATATAAGTACAAAAGAGTAGATTTGATTGAAAAAGACTTAAATGGTGTTACCTCGCTCTAATACATTCACTGACAATCAGCCTGATTAAATGCAATTGCAACATTACTATCAATGAAATCCAGTCTTAGTTCAATTTGCATATAAAAATGTGTAACAAAATAAATGACAACCAAATACCTGCATTGAATGGACATAGCGCCATGAAAGTGTTGTGGTAGCCTTCATTGAAAAGCTATGTATGCTGTTGATGAATACATTGGGACCTACATTGCCAAGATGTGTGGAAATGACTGTAACTGTACTTCTCTTTACATGTCTAAGTTTGCTGTTGGGAATTTTTTTATGTGACATTTCAACATAAGTGACATTTCAGTGGCGTTATGATGATTGTAATAAGGATTTGGAAATTGAATTCTTATTTGTTTTATTGATTTTTATTGTTTGTATAAATTATTTCATAACAAAAATGTGGATGTACATCAACTAATGAAATCATGACATTAATTACTACTTATGTTGTATTGAACACTTGAACATTCCTGGGCAAAGTTGAGAAACTATATTGCTTTGATGCAAAAATTAATCTATAACATTCCCCTTTAAATAAAACATAAATTATTACATACATTCACGTAAACTCACAACATTAGCAATAATTACGAGTACCTTAACTAATTTATTAAAACTAACTAATGTGTCTTCTTAGGTTTAGCAAGTTTTTCATATTTGCTTTTTGAAGAGTACCAGAGGCCAAAGGGAATTGCGAGTGATGGCAGTGTCATTACGGCAAATGCTGTCCAGTCCAGGATGTGAGAAGAGAATTTTCGGTCATAATCCTTGAATGCAACAATAGCACCCTCACCTGGAGCACTGCTGATGGAGAATTTTTCCTGGAGTTAAAAGAAAATATAAAGTTAAAAAAATGTTAGTGTTATACAAACCATTCATAACAATCATATATATAGCCGCCACAGACAATTGTAAAAATAAATAAATATTATAAACATTCATTAACTCCTTAAAAATTATAATTATGTTTTTATTTACTACTAGCTACCCGGACAGAATTTGTTCTTAATTTTTTGTATTAAAACTTTCCATGGACCGGAACATACAAAAAAATAAATTTTAAAGATTCCAAAGTAAACATTATTAAATCACTGACATATTAAACAACACAAAATAAGTAAATAAAATTTAGTTTTTACACAATTAACCAAATATATAGATAAATAGTTTTTTTTATCATCTCTTGATATTAATGACAACACTTATTAAAATAAAATTATTAAGCTTTTTTTACACAACATTGTCTTTATTACTATCATCACAGTAATGCCTGGTTTCTGAAACACTGATCATCGTAGAAGTCAACTAATCAGCTGTCAAATGGCTTTTCAAATGTTATTTAAGTTGCCAAAAGGATGCTTAAAGACTTTGCATTGGTCATTCTGATCATTAAGAAGATCATTCTGATCAATTCAGAGTTTAACCATCCTTTTGGGAACTTAAATAACATTTGAAAAGCTATTTGACAGTTGATTAGTTAACTACTATGATGATCAGAGTTTCAGAAACCAGGTGTGTCCCTCACTAAGCTTGTACTATAGACACTAAGGTACAGGTAAGCATACTAAAACTTTTCTTTTCTAAATAAATACAAAACTATAGATTTATAAACACCCAAACACTATGTGCATCACAATATTTTTCCAGTAATGGGGATCGATCCCAAACATTCTGGTGCAAGAGACAGGGACTCTATCTCCTACTCCAATTGGGTTGTCAAAAGATGTTAATGCCATAAACTATTTGCAAAAGAAAAATTATTTGTAAAATAACAGCTGTATAACCTAATTAGATAATGTAGCTGTCATTTTATTGAAAGGATATTTGGTAAGCTAGTCTTGCATTTTATATATCAACTGCAATCATCGTAGTACAGGACACATTACAATAATTATTCAATGTTTAACAACATCCCCACTGTATATATTCCTACACATATTATGGCTGCCTTCATTAAGTTCATTAAATCATTCCACTTACCTCCGAGGAGTCTTCACCAGATTTGTATGTAACTTCTGCAGAAGTGAAGTTAAAGTAGCCAAATCTGTTTGATCTTACAGTGACCACATGAGACACATTAGTTTGTGGCGGTATCCTGTCAATATGTGCTGTGAGCTGCCCACCAACAACCGCAAATACCTCTGGATGGAAGCCATTATCTACAAGCTTTACATCTACGGCGGGAGCTGTCCCTACATTGTAGAGAGTATATTTAACTAGAATATCCATGTTCTCTACTAAATATTTGTTTAACACTTGTTTGGAGACAAGTAATCTAGCGAATGAGGGTTCTTCATCTGCTGTAACCGCCGCAGCAATTAGCAGGATAAGGGAAATCAATTTCGCCGACATTATATCTGAAATTTAGAAATATTTACGGTGAATATATTTTTGTATAGAATCAATGGAATAAAATTAATATTGAATGAAAGTTTTATATTTTCTCTTTTAAAAGCCTTGTAAAAATAATGACCTTAAATAAAGTACCAAACAACTAGTAGTTCTTTACCTTATGCTTTCTTAATAACTATGAGAAATAGGTTGAATCAAGATTGAAAGTGAAAACAGAAATGTGACGTTCAATTGAAAAAGATTTGTACGTGGCTGACGTTTCACTCCACGCGTCAAATGAAAGAAAAGCGTTGCCATAATATTAATTAAAAACAGATAGGTTGCGTTCTTTTCGGTTTATTGTGGATACCACCAAAACGAACTGGCAGCGTAGCTTGAGTCCAGCTTAATTCATTAATAGATAAATTTAGAATTTTTTCTAGAGCTGATTTAAGATGGAAATCAATTTTCAAAAAGTTACCGCATTTCCAAACTGGACTCGAGCGAAGGAGGTACGTAAATTTAGGTACAAGAATACAATATCGCAAAATAGTAAGCGCAATATGCGAATTTAGTAAAAACAATTTATTAACATGATCTGAAAATTGATTTAACTTTAATTTTAAATGAGGTTCCAAACTTGGTATCAACAAAGGAGCACCTAAGAGGTAAAGTGAATCTGAACGGACTACGTTAATTCCCGGTATGATAGAGCTTAAATTTTGGGTCAAAATGATTTTGTCGGAAAAAGAAATCTTTTCGGAAAAGAAAAGTTCGCATTTGGAATTATTTAAATCGAGACCGATATTTTTAAATTGTCTAATAATTTCGATAAGATCACTTTGTACATCGTCAACTATTACCTCCCAGCGTACCATCGTCTAGGTACCAGACATTAAGTTTAGATTTCAATTTTGAAATAATTGGATGAATTCCCAATTACCAGACTGTGTTATCATTTAAATAATCATTAATATTATAATTAGCCTTTAACACACAAACGTTCTTTTACAACTTTTTTAAATTTAGCTATTGATGCATTTTGAACGTTTTCTGGAATTTTGTTATAGAAACGTATACATTAGCGTTTATAAAAGATTTACTTCTTCTACGCGGTCTACTTGTGGGTAGGATCAATTTATGTTTGTTTCTAGTATTTATATCATGAACATTATTATGTCTTGTTTATCCTAATTTTTAAGGACATACATAAAATTTTCAAAAATGTATTGAAAAGCAACAGTCAATACCTTTATCTCTTTAAATAAGATTCTTAACGATTCTTTGGGGCCCAGATTATAAGCGGCACGAATAGCTCTCTTTTAAAGGATAAAGATTGTATTAATGTCGGCGTTACCCCAAAAAAGAATGCCACAAGACTTTATATGGAAATAACTAAAATAGATCAAGCGAGCCTTATCTAAGGCTCGCTTGGTCTATTTTAGTTCATCAGTGTATTATTTTTTAGACCGCGAAAGCTGCTGAGCTAAGTCTACTCGCCAGCCTATTAATATGGGGGCCCCATTGCAGTTTAGCATGAATAGTTATGCCATGGAATACAGTTGAGTCAATAGGGTCCAGCGCTCCCCCATATGAAAAAGTACATCAGTTTTTACTTGTTTTACTTTGGAAGTTGTAAATTTAATATATTTAGTTTTTTTATTATTCAACAGTAACATCGTCATAATTTAAAGAACGTCGTTTTACTTTAAAAATTAAAGAGGTGTCATCAGCAAAAAATACTATCTCATTATTATTTTTAACTAGATAAGGTAAATCATTTATGTAAATAAGGAAGAGAAAAGGCCCAAGAATAGATCCCTGCAGGACTCCCATGCTTACGAGGGCCCCGGGAGATCTTTTGTCATTCACGTCAACTCTCTGAATTCGATGGCTCAAGTACGATTTCAGAAGATTGAGTGCGGCATCTCTTATACCATAATCGCGTAGTTTCCTGACCTCCTACTGTACACAATCGAAAGCTTTGCTTATGTTACAGAATATCTAAGGCATCCTGCTACTCTTCCCCGGTTTCAAAATTATTCATAATGAGCTGAACACCCGCATCAGCTGTTGAGTGACCCCTAGTAAACCCATATTGCTGTAATAAATTATGAGAGCTAAAATACTGTAACATTCGATTCAACATAGTATAGAGATAGGTGTAAAATTATTGGGGTCGCAAGTACTACCAGATTTAAACACCGGAATGATTTTACTATGTTTCATAAGGTCAGGAAATTCGCCACGATTGATACAAATATTAAAAACAGTTGCTAGGTAAGGTGAGATTACATCAATAATAGAACTGATCACCTTAACCGAGATCCCTCATCGATCTGCAGTTCTATTAACATCTAAAGTTTTAAAGTTTTAACAATTTCTTTCTTGTTTACAATAATAAATTTAAAGTTTACTTTACATTTCATAACATTTTTTTAGTAATGACTTGGTTGATAAGCCTGCTGCGCTAAGCGCTGTAGAGTGGTGTCGGCAACAAAAACTAATCACTCTTTTTTACCGACTTCAAAAAAGGAGGAGATTCTCAATTTAACTGTATTTTTTTATGTTTGTTACCTTCGATTGAGAGAACCAATATTGATGATTCTTTTTTTATTTGAAAGCTGGTGCTTCCCATGTGGTTCTTAATTAATTTCATTGGTGTTGGATCTTGGGCTCCGGAGATACTTAGGGAACTAAAGAAAATCAATTACTTATAAATAAAATTAATACAGAGCAAGATATTTGAAGTCGGTTTTGTTTTTCGTTAATATAAGATGGGCTAGTTCGTAGGTCATTTAACCTTTAAGCATCTATCATCACTTCCTTACAACAACGCTTTTTCGTATGATGACGGCAGATTAGAATTACTTAAAGCGCGCTTTAATCGGTTTGCTCGTCTACTTAGACCGATGACAAATTAAAGCGCGCGTTAAGACGTTTATAGTTTATACAGTACTACAGACATTAGCGCTGTTTCCGATGCATAGCTTGAAGGGTAAGGAAAAGGTACTAAAACCTTATATTACTTATACTATAGACTTTAAAATGCTTTTAAAGTCGGGCATTCCCGGCGAGTGTAGCTTGTGAATTAAGCTGTTATGCTATTTTTTTTTAAGAGCCTAGTGGGGGCACCTTAACCTTTGAGCGAGAAAAGAACTAGCTCTCTTGTCGCCAGAATTTTAATTAAATTTTATAGACCTGAAAATATAACAAATTTAAGAAAAAGTTCATGGCAGTCTACTGGGGAGGCCTATGTTCAGCAGTGGACTCAAACATGTTAAACAGGCTGAAATGATGATGAAGAAAAAGTTTGCTTTATAAAAAAAACACTTTTACAAACTGTTTTACAGACGAAACTGGGATACGAGATTAAAAAATTAGAACGCATTTTTAACTTGATTTCGATCGGCTGTCAAACATATTTACTGGACTGGAAGTGGAAATATTAATGCGGAGTTATATCAAAGCGGCAAATGATTGCAAAGATGTTAAGGTCTCTTTAATCACAGATTATTGTATTATTAAGAGAAAATTGTGGGTTTCACCTCGTTACACAAGCTATGACAGATAAAGAAGATGTTTCCAAAAAACCCGCTACTGAGCCAATAGATGACGAAGCTCTAGAGAAGTATGTTATTTTAATAAATTAGTACATAATAAGATAAAACATTATACAGAAATTTTAACAGTGACAAGGTATTTTCAAAATGTTGAGAATGTGAAAGTTTATTTTTTTTAGTACATCAGGTAAAATATTTTTTATGATGTTGGTAAACTGAAGACATCAAGTGATAGGCTAACAATATACAAACAATTATTTATAGGATTTTTTAAATACACTGATAATGAAAAAATCTGCATATATTTATTATGTTTAGGATTACTTACATTAAGAAATAAATGGAAATGAGAATGAAATTTAAAAGATTTCCTGATGCGGCTTGGAAATATAAAAATATTATTGATTAGGTAATGTATTCACATGATTTTAATTTGTAGACTAGCTGTAGAAGAATTACTGCGGGAGGCTGTACAAGGAGCTGCGCGGGCAGAAATTGTCGGCCCTTCAGGGTGGGTTAAGGTCACTCAACCCAAGAACCATAAACGTTTTCTAGTCAATACCATAAGGAATACTGTGAGCTCTAATAAATACCACAGTTCTCGTAGCACTCACAGAAGCTCACACAGGTCTTACAGCAAATCTCCAAAGAGGGACCACAAACCAGAGACGTCAATAAAGAAAGATAGGTCTAAAAGAAAATATTAAAATGGCTGAATACAATGTAGATGATATATTGCGCAAAATAATCCCAGTTGATGAAATCAATTGGAAACCATCAGAAAAAATTCCTATGGTCATTAAGGAAATAGAAAAAATCAAAATAGATTTGAAATCATTTTTAAACAACAGTAACAGTGAGCTTACATCAATTTTAAGTGAAGGGAAGGAGCTCACAGAAGAAAGTAAATCTCTCATAGAGGAAATGGAAGCATGCAAACAAGAGATTGAAGAAGAAACAATGGCTGAAGTTCTCCGATCTATTGAAAACCATGACAGTATAGTTAAACAATTGGAGTCTGTAAATTTTTATTTGAACATAATACATGATGTAATACAAATGGGGCGACTTGTTCAAGACTTTGGTGATGCAATTAATGATCACGGTTTCTCAGAAGTTGTTGAAGCAGTGTCTGATCTATTTGTATACATAGAAAATCCAGCTGAAGGTGTTCAGAAATTGGATCTTTTTGAAGGTACAAAAAGCAAAGCGCATATGATATTTGATGACTTAGTACATACTATGTTTCAAGAGTGGAACCGAAGGGTCATGTATGGTTCTGACCCTAGTCCAAAAGTGAGCAGGGTTACGATCCAGCTGAATTTAGATGATTCTTTAGTCACTTTTGATGTCTTGAATGCATTAAACAAAGCTAAGAAGCTTAGCGAAAAAGTTTCGGAGTTTTCGGAGTTCCTCCTCAAAGAAGTTTTAACACCAATAATACGTTATGACTGTACTGTGGTTGCTGAGACTGTAGATATCATTACTGTTACCATAACATATACACACAATGTTAAACAACCATATGAAAATGTAATGGCTAATATACGTTCCCTGTTCCAATTTTTAAGCAATAGAATAAACATACAAGTTGGTAGATCAAATGAAACTATTATGACCATGATAGGGAAGCTGATAAGCAAAGATTTTAGTGAGGTCTTAATCCACGACTGTTTAATTGATACTATACCCAACAATATTAACGACCTTCAAAATTACGGGAGGATTATTGCAGAGATTGAAGATTTCCAACGTTTCCTCTTTAATGTGAAATTTTTCTCAGATGAAGAATTTTCATTACTAAATTATGTAAAAGATATTGATGTATTTTTTTCATCTCGTGTAAGCCAGCACTTTTTGGTAACAGCTCGGACTATAATGTTGAAAGACTTAAGCCAGTCTATGTCTATTGGGTTAGAAACAATTCACACAAATCCTTTCAAGGATGACTTTAAAAGTAAAGATGAGACAATTGAACTTGCGTTGGAAGTACTGCACCAAACAATACCAAAAAGTTTATTTTACTTCCCTCGGTGTATGATATCGAGATCAGCACAAGAGCTGCTAGATCTAGTATATGTAGTGATGGAACAAGCGGTTCAGAGTTCAGATTTTGTGAGCAAAAAGCTTTATACCACTGCTAGATTGATTTTTGAACTTTATGATGCTGTGGTTCCATACCATCATGAGAATTACCTTCAGACAATACCACAGTATGTTGGTAAGTATAATCAGTCGTTCTTTTTTCACAGAGAAAGTGTTTTTATGAAAGTCTTGCTTAATGTAGCACTCACACTTATACATTCTGACATTGTCATGACAATATTTATTTAAAGCACAAGCCTTAACATGTAATATTAAAATTAATAATCAAATTATTAAAAGAAACATCACTGATCATGTTATAACTAGATGATACTACAAATAATATTATTTACTGATCGCAGACCTATAGGCACTGAAGGTGTATTTGGGTGCCTCTGTGCAATCTCAATACAGTATCTGTGCTAGCCATTTTGTGGACAAACCATTATTATAATACCTAGTTGGGCGCAATATATACCATATAATAAAGGTTGAATATTGTTTGATAATCAAAATCATAGTCAATTTTGATGATGATTAACTATTATATATTAAAATCGGTATCCGCATGAATAAAAGAAATCATTATGTACATAATAAGTATACAAGGAGACTTTTTTAAAGGTGCCCAAATTTACACAGGAGGTAGTATAATCGTTTATTGAAATAATACAGGACAAGGATGTTTGGAAATGACTCTTGCTCTGCACTTGCAAGACCCCTGGCTGCTGCTGATTTTATACCTAAATAAGTGTGTATAATTACATCAAAAAAATATATATATAACAAAAAGAACAAGACCGCAGAGTTTCTTGCCGGTTCTTCTCTGTGCAGGTCTAGTTTAGTGAATCGGTGGTAGATTTTTTGTTGACGTTCAATAAGGGCTTAAGTTAGGCCTATATTGAATAAATATACTTTGACTTTGACTTTGAATAACAACCTTTTTTTTACAAAAAAAGTTACCATTCTATTCCCTAAAAAACAGAACTTGTTGACAATGCGGTAGTAATTCATAAATACCTAAATTTTACTGTTCACGCACACGAACGAATTTGTGTGTGCTATCGGGCGTAAAATAAATAAGTTGCGTATAAATCACGCACTTTTTGAGATAAGTTCAAATAAATGTAATTAATTACTTACAAGTGATTTAAAATATTTATCATTTTGTATATAAGATTGTTTATGTCTAGAATTTAATTTAAAAAAATGTTTATACTAAGAAAAGCCTCCCTGTATAAAAATATACTTATTATGTTCACATTGTCCTTTGAAAATTTAGTATTACAATAGTTTAAATAATATATAAGTTCTTCTTTGATTAATGGCTTCTACCTCTAGTATAAGATCTTCAGTTTAAACAATTTTGACACAAAGGGTCTCCTTTTCAAGTCTTTTTGATAGCAACAAATGGAGGGTAGATACAAAGTGATTGATTTCAGCTTTGTTCCACAACAACTGTATGTTCCTTGCGCACCACCTTCAGACAATTGGCGATAAATGGCTGACACTCATGGAGGGTAGGCAGGTTGACTATCCAATCAGCTTTATCGACCTGGTACCGAAACTACGCGAACTGGGTTATCGGCATCTAACCATGCAAATGCAGCAGCAAAGGAAGCAAATCCTGGATAACATCCGTTCCTCAGGTGTGCTATTGCTTTAATGTAATAATTTTATAAGGATGGCCGCCATCCATTCACTTAGGAAGTTACTGTACTTTAGCTTCAAGTTTGTTTTTGTTTGTTATATTCAAACAATTGTTACCTGTTCATTAAGGTATTATATATTAAAAGCGCTATTTTTCAAATGTACAATTATTTTTTTCCACAACTTATTGCGTAAATGAAGTGGTTGTGGACGTCTGGAATATGGCCAACATAAGCTGACTTCATAATACTTTACCTTCGCCTTAACACAATTAAAGTGGTATTATTTACCTTTATAGATTTGAACTGCATTGTGGTGAAGGACATACTTGATGAAAATGCAGAAGCAGCTATAAGGCAATGCCTGCGACAATTACATCTCCTTAAAAATGTTTGGATAGGGGTGTTCCCGAGTAATGTCTTCATAAGGTACAGTCACATTTTTTGTATATACAGTAGAATCCGCTAATTATGACTCCGCCTATAATGACCAACCGTTTAATATGACGTAATTACACTACGATGTTTGGTTTTCATATAAAATTCTTTATAAAAAAGTCGGATATAATGACTTCTCTTACAGTGACATGTCGCTTATTATTACCTATTTTTAATAAATTATGTCCGGATATAATGACCGTTCTTTACACTTTCGGTAATGTTCGTTGATTCCCGATGTTCGGCATGTGGCTCGTTTTTTTTTAAATCTCAGTGAGTAATTGACACTTAATAAAGGTCACGCTTTATTTCATTAGCGAATTTTTTCTACCAAATAAAATATATGTATATTTTAATAGGTCGACATCTTATTTCATTAATTTCTTATAAATATTTGTCTCTATCTCGAATTAAAATTAGAGTAAGTAGATTAAAATTAGAGATTAAATTAGAGCCGTGATAGCTCAGTGTCCGGGCGCTCGCCTTTAATTCAATATACTCGAGCAACCTGAGTTCAATCCCCGGTGTCGGCACCAATGAAATTGTCAATTTTAAGTGCTGAATTATCACGTGCTCAGCGGTGAAGGAAAACATCGTGAGGAAACCTGCATATTTTCGAAAAAATAACAAAAAAAAAAATATTTCGAAGATATGTGAAGTCCACCAATCCGCAGTGGAGCCGCGTGGTGGACTATGCCCTGATACCCTCTGTATAGAGGAGGCCTTTGCCCAGCAGTGGGAAATGTATAGGCTGATACTTTACTTTTTACTTTTATCTCGAATTAAAGTATTTTTATTTTGTCCATCTCATGACAATGGAAATTGCAAGGTATTGAAGTTGAAATTAACATGATCGAATCTTTTTTTTATGTGAAAAGTTGGCAAGCGAGCAGGTGGTTCACGTGACGTTAAATATTTACCGCCGTCCATCGACACAATAACAACAGATTGGTTGCACATGCGTTGCCAACCTTTAAAAAAACAACTTCATCCACCAGACAAAACGCAAAACTATAATACTTGTACTGCAAGTTAGTCCTCTGTGAGGTTTCCCCCGGATGAGTCTGCCCATTTGTGAGACAGCAGAAGTGGTTGCATGGCCCTAGCACGGTAATTTCATATTTGAAATGTAATTATTACATATAAAAATCTTTCAATGTCAAACCATCGCCTTTCAATGTTCTAATGTACTTCAGTGAGAATAAAAATTAATGTGATATTTATAATCCTCATTCAAACAAACTGACAGTCGTTTGGTACTCTGTTTTAGATTGATGACCACGCTTATCAATATGTTCATTGAGGAGCTAATCCATCGAGTGTGTACTGTGGAGGATATTTCAATGGCAATGGCAACACAGCTCAACGAAATGTACTCTCTCGTCATACAGAAAGTACCCCAACTTTACCCGGTAATTACTTTTTCTTCTACTCCATTGTTATTGAAATGTTTTGCGTTTTAAATTGTGCTAGTTTATCAGCTCTTTTTGGTTTTGTCCAGTTTAATGTAGTAGCGTTTATTATACAGGGTGGCTTTTCTAAAGGTGCCCAAACTCACACAGGAGGTTAAGACTCGGTAGTATAATCGTTTATTGAAATAACAACAAAAATTGCAAATAATTGCTATTCCCTTCCCCAGAACTTGTTGACAATGCGGTAGTCATTCATAAATGCTTCGTATACTTTTGAAACGAACTTGTGTGCGTGTTAGTTATGAATGATCGCACGTAAAATAAATAAGTTGCCCATAAATCACGCACATTTTGAGATCGGCAAACGTTGTTTTGCCATATAAATTATTTCTAGAGGAATCGGAACGCGTTAAGTTTGACAGATTACACAGACATAGTTGACAGGTTGACAGAACAGTTTGTATGGAAAAATAAAATTGTTGCTATTTCGATTTTCCATGCAATATTTCCATAATTTCTCATTGTTTAAACCTTCCCTGGACTGCCACAAATGTTTCGAAGCCAAAATTAGCCAAATCGGTCCAGCCGTTTTCGAGTTTTAGCGTGACTAATGAACAGCAATCCATTATTATACAGGGTGTTACAGAAAGGTGTTGTAACATTTAAAGGCGTGTGTGTATGTATATATCAGACTTTGAATCAAATGGCATAATTTTAAAATACGAATCTAAGCATTTTTTGACGATAAAAATTAAAAAATTAATTAACTGTAACAACTCTGATTGTAGAAGTCACTGACCGCGCATCGGTGTTATCACTCCAAACTCACACACGCATACATCTGATCGCCCGACTTATTTTCCCTCTCCCTCCACTCCTCGTTACGTCATTACCCCACTTCCTGCTCAAGTTTATCGGTCCCCTCCGCCCGCCCCTCGCCAACCAAACTGACAACGACCGCATCGCGCTGCAAGTCCTGACGATGCTCTAATACAATGAAACACCGTGCTTATCATCAAAATTTATTTGAATTTATCGGATTTTGTCACAACAGAAAGACACGAAATAGCTATACTGATAGTCCATGAGCCCTACTTAATATGTTATTGATTAAAGAATAGGTATTCATTATCGGGAAATAAAACACAGACACACTACTTTTACTACGTTTATTTTTGTAAGCAAATATCCGCGTCATACCTACATAAAAACATTTTTTACATGGAATTAATAATAGATTTCATGAGACAATTTCCACTGTAACTTATAATTTTTTAGTATTGAGATTTTGGATTAAACATTAAATCGCTTGCAATGGAAGGTAAAAACATTTTAGAAGGTTACAACTCACAAATCTTACAACGCCGATAAATTTATTCAACACAACATCAGTGAGATACATTATCATGTTATGGCGGATACATAATACATAATAATGACAAAAATAAATTTCGAATTAAATAAGTTCAATGTAATTATAAAGTATAAAACAATAAAATCTTATTTTAAATAAATAAACTATACCTAGACATTCCAATGAGATCAGCGTTTACTAAGAAAAACTCGTGCTTATCGGTGTCGGTCGGTTCCATTACGCGATACTATTCTTTCACTGTTATAGCACTTCAGCACTTGGGATAGTCATTGTCACTAACTTAAAACACACCAAGGTCAAGGGTTGCTTCGTCATTTGCGAAGCTTCGACGCGTATAGGGCGCGGACGCAGACGAGGGCCGATCCTTCCTAACACTTCCTTAACACAACTGGCAGCTGATCCAAATTTATTATTTCAGCATTCTGGCTTGCTGTCTTTTGGCGTTTCTTCTTATCTTCTTAATACTTATGGCGTCAAAGACTGCCTGTCATCGAAAAAACCAATAATGTAGTTTCAAGGTAAATCGACGGCAATTCTCTCCGCAACACCGAATACCATTAAGCAATTTTTTAGCATATGCATTTCTGTCATCAATAACTGTTCAATAAATCGAGAATAAAAAATAAAAATCACGAACGTGTCTTCACACCGTAATGTCTAAAAAGTAACTGATTTAAAAGTTTAAATAACACAAACCAAACGACGGCATATTTTATGTATTGATTGAACTACCTAAGCGGCATTCGGCCGCTTATGTCGGTAAGTACATAAGAAACGTTTGTTGGGGACTATTTCGCCGCTCGCATAATAATGGTACCATGTCTACTGAGTAATATTATAGGACGGGAGAAAATAATTGGCTATTTAATTTTCAAATCAGCATAGTTATATCACAAACTTTTTGTAAATCAACATTAAACTATTGCTGGAAGGTCAGGTATTCTTTTAATGGTATTTTACCATTGACTAACAAAACATTAAGAATCTAGTTGACCTCCTTTAAAATACCACAAAATAATCCTAATCGCTATTTAGAGCTTTTGGCTCATTTACAAGTATTATTTTAAGCTTAAGTTATTTTAACTATTATGTAGACTATTAACATCATGAGTAAATGTGAAAATTTCAGAGCAAAATTATTTTCATGTGATGGCAGCTTACAATTTTATTTATTTTTCCTATCAAAATTGTAGCACAAAGAACAGACTGAGATCTATAAAAATTCGGGATGACCGAACATCAGAATATCGGGATATTCCACGCGGATCGGCACATCTGGTAACGCTAGTTCTAGCGAGTGCGGTAAATACAAAGGCGGTCTTTGTTAACTGTTTGACGCCGACCATCCACGTGGACTGATGGATTTGAATAGAAGGTCATTCAAAACACGTGTAATTAGTTCGAAGAATCATAACTGTAAACTGATAGTTATGCTTATGGATCCATGAAATAACTTTTTTTACTTTTTTCAGAATACTTTGTACATTGAATAAGTAAAAACGCAATGAATTTAATAGGTACCGAAAATTAAGTTTATGATGTTATTATGGACTAAAATTTTAATTGACATTTAATAAGGTATTCGTCTAATATCAAGTTAATGGTATTTGTTTGGTTCCGCATAATAAAGAAAAAGTTCATGATTTCTTTGCAGATTTTTTTAATTTTTGTTAATGCGCGCGATTTATAACTACACGTGCCGCCACCAACCCAACAGGCTCGGAGCCCGAGGGTCGGTGTTAAATCGCATCGCGTTAAGAACGCTAATTTATTTAATACTTTCCGCAAAAACTTTTAATGGTTAAATTAAAAATATTGGCGCGAAACTCCATGCTTTCATTTAAAACAAAAAAAATTACAAATCATTTAAAAATATAGTCCAAAATCATTATTTTTTTGAAATTTTATATCTAAATGCTTATTTGTATTGGACATAGTAAAGTCAATTTGTATAAATTTCGTATTTTTTATTTGACCAAAATTATTAAATATGAAACAGTGCCATCTTGTAGATTGACTTATAACTATTTATGGTTATCGGTTATTTGATTAACAATGATATTAGTACGTGTTGTGCCTATTTGTATTAGACAAATTAAGAGTAAACATATTTTTATTCAATAATGTTTATTTCATTTGACCGTACATGTATGTGAACAAATGATAAAATTTTTATTTTTGTTATCCGTGACATCAAAATAATTATTTAAATTTAACAATTCAAAAAACAGCGCCATCTGGACAACCTACATGATAAAAATTTAAATTATAAAATGATCTGTCGTCAAAATTTACTAATGAATTGGAATTTTCTTTCTATAAAGTATTTTGTGTTTTAAAATGCTCGATTCATTAATCTTCGAAATATCATACGAAATGAAATTCGAAATACAGTAATCACTACTTACTATAAAACAAGGTCGTCCCGCTGTTCGTCTGTCCCTATGTATGCTTAGAGCTTTAAAACTACACAACGGATCTCAATGCGATTTTTTTAAAAACATAGAGCGATTCAAGAGGAAGGTTTATAATTATGAATAATACATTGCAACTGTGCGAAACTGGGACGGGTCGTAAAGTATAATAGTAAAAGTATAATAGTATGAATAGATTAATGAAAAGATAATGAATTCGTTCAATCACTACCTAGTATAAAACAAAGTCGTCGCGCTGTCTGTCTGTCGCTATGTATGCTTAGATCTTTAAAACTACGCAATGGATCTCGATGCGTTTTTTTACTAGCTAGAATGATTCAAGAGGAAGGTTTATAATTATGTATAATACATTGCACCCGTGCGAAGTCGGGGCGTGTTGCTAGTAAAAGTATAATAATATGTATAGATTAATGAAAAGATAATGATTTCGTTCAATAAGTATAAAATAGTCTATGGTGTTGATAAAACTGCACTTATACATTTTTAAACAAATTAATACTAAAATAAAATACAACGTAAAGTAACGGTTACATGTTACAACCACGACATTCGATTAAGACGACTGGGTTTTAAATACAAATAACAGCTGTTATTTTTATGAAAGTAAAGTAAAAAAGTAGGTGGTAAATCAAGTAGGTGAACTAAATGTTAGTTCTTTTTAAAATTGAATATTTAGAAAATTTATTTATTAGTTTCAGTATAAAATTTCATGTATTAATTCTCAATTAGTGTATACAAATCCTTCAGAAATAAAAGTAAAAAAAGAGAATTTCATAGTTCCAAAACTTATTAGTTGTGATACTGCGAACTAATTACACGTGTTTTGAATGACCTTGTCACTTTCATCAATCTAGGTAGATTGTCGGCGCGTATAACAGTTAACAAAGACCACCCAAAGGTGGTCTTTGTTAACTGTTAAATACAAATATTTACCGCGCTCGTTTCAACTAGAGTTACCAGATGTACCGATTCTCGCGGAATATCCCGATATTCAGAGGTCCGTTCATCCAGAATTTTCATAGACTCCTTAGTCTTTACTTTGAGTTAGAAACTAAGAAAAATTGATACATTGTAAGCTAGCATTACTTAAGCATTAATATTTTTCTTTGAAATTTTCATATTGCCTCATGAAGTTGTAAATAGTCAAATTAAGGTTTTTTATTTTCCGGTGTAGTGTGTCCTCGATTGAAGTAGTGAAATGGAAAGTTTAAAATAAAACAAATACTTTAAAATGAGTCTAAAAGTTTCTAAATTAGGTAAAGCGAATTAATAATCACAACGGTTATGTTTGAATTTTGTGATATTTTAAAGAAGGTCAATTAGTTTCTTAAAGTGTTATTTGATTAGTTTTTTTAGTAGCCAATGGTAGAATACTATTAACAGAAAACCGAAAAAAAGTTGTTTATTACTTTATTGCCAATTATACCGCCGTCCTAAAATTTTACTCAGTAGACATGGTAACCTTATTGTCGGCGCGGCGAAATAGTCTTGCACAAACGTTGCCTATTTAACTACATAAGCCGCTACCGCTTAGGTAGGTAAATACATAAAATATGATGTCTCTTCCTTTGTGTTACTTAAATTTTCAAATCAGTTACTGTCCAGCCATTTAGGCATGCAAGTCGATTTCATGATTTTTATTTTATAGTTATCGATTCATTATTGATAAAAGATGTCTCAGACATAGTCATATGTTCAGTAAATACTACATGATATTATTCAGTGTTGCGGCTAGAACGACCATCGATTTACTTTGAACTTTTCAACTACATCAGCTTTTGACGCAACTGTCGCTTCTACGTACGAATTATTTCTGCAAAGATGTTCTGGACGTATGCGCGTACTACGGGAGGCTCACCAACTGCACCAGAAGCATTTGCCAAAAGCCGAAACAAGTAAACAGCAAGCAAGAATGCTGAAACAAATTTAGATCAGCTGCCAGTTGTGTTAAAAAGGAGCTGGAAGGATCGACCCTCGTCGATCCTTCCAGCTCCGTCCGCGGCCCATACGCGTCGTAGCTTCGCAAATGACGAAGCAACCCTTGACCTTGGTGTGTTTTAAGTTAGTGACAATGACTATCCCAAGTGCTGAAGTGCTATAACAGTGAAAGAATAGTATCGCGTAATGGAACCGACCGACACCGATAAGCACGAGTTTTCTTAGTAAACGCTGATCTCATTGGAATGTCTAGGTATAGTTTATTTATTTAAAATACAGATTTTATTGTTTTATACTCTATAATTACATTGAACTTATTTAATTCGAAATTCATTTTTGTCATTATTATGTATTATGTATCCGCCATAACATGATAATGTATCTCACTGATGTTGTGTTGAATAAATTTATCGGCGTTGTAAGATTTGTGAGTTGTAACCTTCTAAAATGTTTTTACCTTCCATTGCAAGCGATTTGATGTTTAATTCAAAATCTCAATACTAAAAAATTATAAGTTACAGTGGAAATTGTCTCATGAAATCTATTATTAATTCCATGTAAAAAATGTTTTTATGTAGGTATGACGCGGATATTTGCTTACAAAAATAAACGTAGTAAAAGTAGCGTGTCTGTGTTTTATTTCCCGATAATGAAATACCTATTCTTTAATCAATTACATATTAAGTAGGGCTCATGGACTATCAGTATAGCTATTTCGTGTCTTTCTGTTGTGACAAAATCCGATAAATTCAAATAAATTTTGATGATAAGCACGGTGTTTCATTGTATTAGAGCATCGTCAGGACTTGCAGCGCGATGCTGTCGTTGTCAGTTTGGTTGGCGAGGGGCGGGCGGAGGGGACCGATAAACTTGAGGAGCAGGAAGTGGGGTAATGACGTAACGAGGAGTGGAGGGAGAGGGAAAATAAGTCGGGCGATCAGATGTATGCGTGTGTGAGTTTGGAGTGATAACACCGATGTGCGGTCAGTGACTTCTACAATCAGAGTTGTTACAGTTAATTAATTTTTTAATTTTTATCGTCAAAAAATGCTTAGATTCGTATTTTAAAATTATGCCATTTGATTCATCATTCAAGTGTGATATATATACACGCCTTTAAATGTTACAACACCTTTCTGTAACACCCTGTATATAACAATATTTGTGTTTGGAATTTAATTAAAAAAAATGGATACACTTAGAGAAACCTTCCTGTATAAATTCCTTAGGGAAGTTGTAATAGCGCAAATTTCAATTGGAATAGGAATAGCGCGAATTGATGGAAACTTGTAGGTCTTCTTGGAGGACTCGGGATAACTTTGTAGTAAAATCTAGATTCGATTACTTACCACCGTCACTTACACTCATTTGGTAACGCACGATATTTTTAATATAAGATGGGAGTATTTAAATATATATCGCAGAAAGATTTTGGCGTCGTAGGGAGTAAAATAATATTATTAGCGTTAAATATCGGTTCTTCAATTTAATGACCTGTGCTACAATGTTTATGATCGTAAATACGTTTTCAGAATCCAGCCCACGTGGGTAAATACGTCAAACCTTGGGTTAAACTACAAGAACTCATTTTCGTTTTGGGCGGCTCCCTCAAGGACATCGAGCAACACTGGAACGACGGCAACGGACCGCTTGCTAAACACTTCACTACGGAAGAGCTGCGTAGTCTTATTAAGGCACTATTTCAGAATACACAATTTCGTGCTAATTTACTCTCTAAAATTAAGTAAATCGCGTATGTCTGTCTGTACTCTCTGTGTAACGTCGTTAATATATGGTGTCAAGTGGTTTTGTGCCTTTTATTTATAAACAACTAGTTATAATGTAATGTAGAACCAACCAACCATTTTAAGACATTGTTAATATGTAAATTGGATGAAAACTTTTGTACTGACTCGAGATATCTGTTTATGCAGACTTAACAACTCGTGCGTAAAATAGTGAGCAGTGTTAAAGTTGTGGTGGACTCGTTTCTGAGGATATTGTAGATCACATAGATCTGAATCAGATGTCTTCCCATCAGTGGGATGCACCAGATATTCATTACCTCATGTGCAAATATCAGTGTCATGCTAGAATGCATCTAGCGTAGAATTCGGTGGAACGTGTTATCCCGATATTGCCCAACCATTTGTACCGGTTTATATAACAAATACCTTGTGAGCTTGTCACATGTATTTAATGTTATTTAGTAATTTATTTTTTTTTGCTCGACAAAAATGGCTGTGGAGTAATTTTGAGCATGTTCTGTAAAATGTTTTCTAGCTTAGGACATTTCTCTCAAAAACCTCAGTTGACAATCTGAGTTTCCCGATATTGAAACTGCCATTAAGAATGGATCAAACATACCTTTGACTTACAAAACATACCTTAGAAAAAAATAACGTAATAATAATTTTTCTAGATAGATGTGTATGATTTGCCTGAGTCCAAGGGCGGATCCAGCTTTGGTGCCAGGGGGGGTCACGTAGTCGTGGTTAAGTGATAAGAAGTTATAATTTATTTTTTATAATCATAGATACAAGTAAAAAGTAGGTACTTAGTTAACCGACTTCAAAAAGGAAGTTATCAATTCGGATGTTTATATTTTTTTATGTCGGTATGTTCGGGCATATGTAGTCATATTGGTTATAATATTCACTATTCCTCTACTCCGCACGCTGGCTCCACTTCAATGACAGGTAGCCTAAGACGGGACTATCGGGACACGGGTTAATAATAATATATAATCAACCCAAATGAAAAGTCCTAAAACAGCCGTACACAAAATAAAATTACATTGTCCGCATTAAAAAAATGTTCATAAATAACAAAAAAAAATATATAGAGTTATTTATTCATTCATAATCCATCTAATCAAAGACAGAATCCACATTCATAACAAACGGAACGAACAAACTTTATTTCCCAAAGATGGTCTTGCATACTCACGTTCAATAAACTGCCACATCTCACCACCCATCAGAAACGGTCCACCCATTAAGACGAATCAAATTCGACGCAGTTGTGTTCCTTAATTTCTGAGTTCCTATGGCCACATTCTAGCTCTGTCATCAGACCCTGGTTGCCATCTAGCACCAAAGAACTCGTCATGACGAATCAAACGAGCCGAGATACAATAGGGTTGCGTCGTTTCTTTACTGAGTTCATATGACTATCTTCCAGCTCCATCATCAGATCTGACCCTGGTTACCATCTAAAAATTAAGTACTCGCCAAGACGAATCAAACCAGCCGAAAATCGATGGGGTTGAGTAGTTTCATTACAGAGTAGTCATTGGAACCTCATAGAATAGCCTCATAGACCTCACAGAAGATCGGCGTAAAGTACTTCCGCGATTTGTCTGGTGAGTGAGGTAGCCGGAGCGCAACTTTATTATAAGGAGAAAACGCATCTGCAACCCTATGCATATGTCCATGGACGGCTGAAGATGGAGCTCCATCATCAGATCCTGGTTACCAATGAAAGACAAACTACTCGTCAATACGATTCAAATGTACTCAAACGCGATGAGGCTCTGTCGTTTCGTTTCGAAGTTCCTTTGGCCTTCTTCCAGCTCAATCATCAGATCAGCACCATGTCATAAAAATATTGCATTGTCTCGCGATTTACACATGTATAAAAAAATTTCAGCTCAACCGGTAACCGGGAAGTAGATCAAATTTAATTTGCAAGATTTGATTTGATGATTTAACATTAAAATATTGTAAAAATGTTCATATAATGAAAAATACTTTGCCAAACTAGAAGAATCACGTAAATCGGATCATAAATCTAAACGTAATCGGTGTACATACATCGAAAAAATATACCAATCGAATTGAGAAACTCCTCCTTTTGAAGTCGGTTAAAAATATTATATTAATTTAATTAAATAATATACATAAAATCTATATTGTGTCAAAAATATATGAAATCATTATGTTTAACAATTTTAATGACCTCCCCCCCTGGATCCGCCCTTGTCTGAGTCACTGTATGTAATGTAATACATATAATTTTTCACTGCATATTTGCTGTATTCTTTTATTAATATTTAATTTAATTCATATTTAACTTCTATGAGAGATAATGGGAGTTTCTGTACCCCTTTAAGCTAGAAATTCAGGTTAGTGACAAACCTCCATAAGCAAAAAAGTGACAGATTCGACTGTATATAAATATAAAATGTTGTGTTGTTTAATTGCCGTTAAGATACCAAAATTAAAAATTCTGAAACTGGCTGAATTTGTGAAATCATACTATTAATGCTATAGATTAAAAAAAAAAAAATAAAGCTTGAAGTCAGATTGAAGTTTTGACTTTTGTGATGTCAAACTGTGAGGGAACACAAATAACCTAATTTTATATGAAAATAAATAATTAATCGATCATAATAATGTTTCAATAAATTAAAAAGATGAATGCTTTGAAATCATTGTTAAGGTACAATAAGCCTAATTCTATATTATGTCGCTATGCTACCACCAAAAAGAAAATACCTGATCCTGATGAAGAAGAACAGTTACCGAGTAAGTTTTCAATTAAAAAAAAGGTCGTTTCATGTTTTAAAATGTTTAAGAATTTTACTAATCCTGTATATATTGTGTACACACACATAAATATGTACTTAATTAAGTATTCCAGTATCCGGTCAGCAAAAGTTCCAATCGTCGCGTCTATGTTTGGGGTATGGCAGAGACTGGCGCATTAGGTATACACATGCCCGGTAGAGGTAAAAGAGGAAAGAAATCTTACAGAAATGACTTCTCTCTTGTTTGGCATCCTATGAGGTCTAGCTTTTGTGAGAGATTTGATGTAAGTAGTGTGGTTTTCAAAATTCAAAGCCTAATATTCAATTTAAAATATTGATGAGAAAAATTGCATTTGTTTCCTACAAAATTAACAGTTATAGGATATAAAAAGCAAGAATAATTTTAGATATGATCTTGAAATTGTTAAATAATAGATTAAAAAAACCCTTATTGAATTTCATCTGAAATAAATGACATTAATATATTTACAGATTAATCAAAACTATTTAATAAATTATTTGTATAATAAAATATAATTATTGATTTAACCAATAAAATGTATATGTATAATAGCTTCAGGAAAAAGCAATCATTCGGTTCCAACGTACCCATGGAGCTTATTGCTATATATTGTCATTTTAGGTGACTCAAATAGCATGTGGATATGGTTTTACCGTTGCAGCTGTTAAAACGGAAGAGCAGCACAAATTGTTTGGCACTGGTATAAATACAGACTCACAGATTGGTTATCATGCGCCCAGAATGGGTCATCCTCTAGAGTTATTGCTCAGTCCTGCTCCTATTTATATTCCATACAAATCTTTGGAAACTAAGGTAATACTCATCCTACCATATATAATATGTTCTACTACTACGAAAAACTGTACAGAGGGTATTAGATACAGTCTACCTTGGGAACCCATTCTGGTTTGTCAGTCAGACTTCACATACCTTAAATTTTTTTGTTATTATTTTGGCAATATGTGGGTTTCCTAACAATGTTTCATTCCACCACTGGGCACATGAGTTACTGTTGAGAATGGCAACAATTTCATTACATTTTTACTGAGGTTGCTCAAGTATATTGAAACAAAAGTGAGCATTGTGACACTTTCCAATTACTGCTATACTTCATACATACATTCTACCACTTTAACTTTTTTAAATAACTTTGCTTATATATTAATTTCCATTATAGTATTCATAATTATCATAATATAGGAAACTACATAAAGTATAATAATTTATATTAATAGAATAACTAATTCAATTCTGAACATTTATGCTTTTCACATTTGTACTTTTGTACTTAGATATGTTCTCCTAGTAGGTGGTATGAAAATTGTATAGGCTTTAAATTGAATTCGAGCTAAATATGCATAATATGCTTCTTTAGAAATACTACAAAATTCAAGTGACTTTCTAGTTAGTAGGAATTACTTTATATGATGGAGAAAATGGAGTATTAGATCTCCCAAATAAGTACCTACATATTCAGGTATAAAGTTCTAACGTAAAATCATTATGTACTTGCAGATAATTGGTTTAGCAGCTGGGAGAGCTCACACTGTTGTACTAACAGACAATGAAGGTGTTTATACACTTGGTAACAATGCATATGGCCAATGTGCCAGAAAGATAAACCCTAAAGAAGAATACAGAGGCAATCTAGTGTCTTATAACTTGAAGAGATTGGGACAGGAAAATATTGCTCATGTGTGCTGTGGACAAGATCATACGTGAGTTTCTCAAACTACTAGATGCTAGCTGGCTCTTAAATTTTAATGATCTTGATTACACTGACAATTCTATGTTTCACATGCAAATTTTTCTACATCTGACATTGATACATCAAGGTCAATTTCCCATATTTATATAATACAACATTATTGCCGAGCCTTTTGTTTTGTTTCAATAATTTAGTATATTTTTTAAATCACAAGCCATCCTTTTATTTACAATAACAAATTTCGTCCATTTAGTGATGTCGGTTTATTAAGGTTATGATTAAAGAAAATCAAATATTAAGTTAGTTCCATATTTTATAGGCTCTTCATTACAGAATCAGGACGAGTGTATGCATGTGGATGGGGTGCAGATGGTCAGACAGGGTTGGGAATGTTCCAGAATCAGGGCAATCCTGCTCCGGTGAAAGGTGACATAACAACTGAGAAAATTGTGAAAGTGGCCTCGACAGTTGATTGTGTCCTAGCATTAAATGGTGAGAAAATATTATCAATGAAATAGTTTTTCTAATATATTTTTTTTGTATTATTCTGATGCCATATTAACGTAAGGAGGTATTCATTAATTATAGGTCTAGCCGAACCTCTCACTCAATTACGTAAGGGCTCTCGGCAAATATAACATACTAGCTGCTGCCCGTGACCGCGTCTGCTTAGAATAGGATGTAGGCGTAACATTCAGACAGAAAGACATAAAATATGTATATAAATTATAGCCTATGTGTAAACTATATTATTGTAGTTTCATTAGAATCCGTTCAGTAGTATTTACGTGAAATAGTAACAAACATCCATCCATACATACACACTTTCGCATTTATAATATTAGTAAGGATTTTTTTGCACGAAACATACATATTGGGATAACGCGGCCGATATAAATACAGTCTTCCTACATAGGAGCTATTCAAGCAGTTTATAATGATTCTAGGTCAACAGGAACTATCATATAGGTTTTCGACTCAAACACTATATGGTAATTTCAGTAAACCTAGAATTGTCAATTTTGGTTTAAAGTGAGGTTAAAAGCAAGCAAGCACACTCATACTCTTGCAAAAATATAAATTTGCCCCTCTATATCTTCATCTTGTTTACTCAGGACCTTGATTTTTATACACCTACTAGGACTATAGTTCTCAATATTTGTTATAAATTTACACTTGCTAGGCTCACCCCTTCCTGAGAAAATCGGTGGTGACACATGGACAGATGGACAAGAGAGTGATCTTATAAAGGTTCCTATTTTACCTTTTGAGGTACGGAACACTCAAAAAGCCTGTTGAATTTTCATTCACGCCGGCTTAACTTAGGTGGCTTTTCTTTACAGATTCTGAAAGTATTAGTACTTTTATAATCAAAGTCACTAAAATTGTCTCACATAGTTTGTGGACTTCCCCTAACCTGTGTATCCTTTACAGACAAAGGAGAACTTTTTGGTTGGGGTAATTCGGAGTACGGACAAATTCCAATGGCCTCTAAGTGCGAGCAAGTGAATACATCTTATGCTTTGGTTAATTTTACACGTGGCTTAGGAAAGATTGTGGATATTGCGGCAGGGGGTTCGTTTTGTCTAATTGTCAATGGTAAGAGCCTTAAACACGTAACTTAGATGCATTCATCTTCTCATTCTTTTATTTACATGTTAAAATTCCTAGTTCAGAAACATACATGTATGAAATGTTATTATATTAAATGAAATTATTTTACGGGACAGTAAGGGATAAAAATCAAAATTAAAACATGATAAAATCTGTAAAATAGTTTCATTAAATATGTAGGTACAATATTTGCTTAAAAACAAGAAATCGAAATGGCATAATGGAATTCGAAATTATGAATATCAAATTCACACACTACACTATCCTAGACTAGCTATGAGAGTATTACCCCTGCAAGACAGTTCCTTAATCTAGTGCAGGGTTCACTAAGCAAACATGTATAAAATTTCCAAATGTACATGTGTGTTGAACACATACATTGTAAAATACTAGGTTTTTGTAATTAACGCTTTGTTTAAATAAACCTTTATTAATTATTGAATTAATTTAAATTAAAACCTTTATTAAATAATTGTTTATATGCTAGAAAGGATATAACAATGGATGCGCCAAGCATTGCTTCAAATACTTAAAAACAATGTAGATGAAGGACTTTAAGATTTTCGTCAGTGTGGCAATCAGCCGTTGAGCTTAGTGGCTAAAGCGTCAGGCCGCGAATGCCGAAGACGTGGTTCGATTCCCACAGCGGCGACAATTTTGTCTACAAATTTAAATGTTGAATCTTAACTGCAGAAATTAGCACTATAAATAATTTAAATTTCCAAAAATATACATGTTCCTTAGTGAAAAAAAAGATAATTGTTGGCTTTATTTTGCATAAACTAAAATTGGGACTTACAATACTGTAAGAAATAAAAGGAAAATTGTTATTTCTTTGCAGATCAAGGCGATGTCTTCGTGTGGGGTTTTGGATTGCTAGGTCTAGGTCCGAATGTTCAGTATTCGTCAAGCCCAAAACAAATTCCTCCCGCCCTATTTGGGCGAAATGAATTCAATCCCGAAACGGTGGTTGAAAAAGTTGCATGTGGCATCGGCCATTTGGCTGCCATAAGTAGTAATGGAGATTTGTACACGTGGGGTAGAAATAGGCATGGCTGTTTGGGATTGGGAAACAATAAAGATCAGCACTTCCCATTAAAGGTTTCAATTGGAGCCCATGTAATTGAAGCAAAGTGTAGTGTTGACCATACTGTAGCTATTTGTAGACCATTCACTTGATTTGTACAAAGCTTAATAGATAAATTTTCAAAACTTAATAAATGTAATTAAATTACTGTTGTTTTATTGCTTTTATTTTAGCTTAAAAGTTGAGAAGAAAGTTGAAAAATATGTAAGGTACAATAAAAACTTTCGTACTTTTTCTACATGTTTTAATGTTCAATCTGAAGTGCAGAGATTAGCACTATAAAAACTTTAAAATTTTGTAAGGTACTAACTAAAGATGGGGCAGTCTTTGAGGATTAATTATTTTATTTATAAATAAAATAATTATCTGTTTATTTTTAAGTTAAAATAATAAATATAAAATAATAATTAACATAAATAAAAAAGCGTTCAGTGACGATGCTGCGAGTTCCATGATTTTTGTTCACGCAAAAAGTGCTCAATGCACCTAAAGAAGTTTTCACTTCAATAATAAAGTGTTAGATGCATTTTTTAAAATATTTTGTCTGGCCATAAGTGTTTGTTTGGGAAAATTACCAAACTGACTGATTATGCTAAATAAGACTTCAATTGAATACCAGATCTTTCAGATATTTATTTAGACTGTTTTTAAAAGACTACATTTGGAAGGCCAACTGTAATAACCTTTTAAATCACAGACAATAAACAAAAAAAAAAAAAAAAAATGTTTGAGCATTCCATTCTCTAGATCAGTGATTTTCAACCACTGTGCCGCGGCACTTTTGTGTGCCGCCAAATTTTGCAAATATATAATAATGTTAATATTATTAAATTACATCATTTAAAAAGAAAAATATTTTTTGGCATTAGCCAACATTAAAACTAAAAAAAGATCAAGATTGTTAAATGTAGAAGACGATATGAGAGTAGCATTGTCATTTTTACGACCAAATATAAATAAAATTATCAAAAAACATCAAGCTCAAATTTCGCATTAAAAATATTTTTATTATGTAAGTGTAATTAATCCCTTAATAAACGTTTAGTTATTATTGTAGTATATATTAGTTTATTTCGTATATTTAAAATTTTTGTCATAAACTATTTATGCAGTGTGTTGTAGTAAGTAAATAATTTTTATCTTTTTCTTTGTGTGCCGCCAAATTTTGAAATCGTTTAATATGTGCCGCAACAAAAAAAAGGTTGAGAATCACTGCTCTGGATAGAAGTTAATGTCCAACTCAACTATTTTCTTACTAATTTTATTTTCTTATTTCTTTAGACATGAAATGACACAAAATGAATATCATACTATATAGTACAAGTTTGTTTTACTACACCAATGTGGGTCATTAAATTACAGTTAATGTAGTAAACATACATACAAAAAATAATTTCAATCACTCTTTGTACGTATGTTTACTATGAGTGCAACTCTACTTAACATAAAGTCTATCTATAAAACTTAAGTTAACATTTTCATGAGCTCTCCATTTATTGATCTTTAGTGTTCAAAATGAAAGCAAAAGCATATTTTTAATATTAAACTTAATCCCTAATCTTTTTACAATGGTACAGATTTCACACTCTACTGACCTAAGTTTTTATCATTCTAGTAAAATGAAAGTCAGAATAGAATCACATGAGTCCATGCCATTCGGATTCAGACCCTAAAATATTTGCGAAACTGTCAGCTTTCAAATTTAATTTTGAAGTTAATTCAATTCAAATTTCAGTATAATGTCTCCATCAGTGAATAAATTTTGAAGTTAAAATTTAATTTATAATTTGACAGTAAATTTTTTAAAAATTATAGTTAATATTAAATATTCAATTTTATTATACTCTGTTTCTAAAGTTAACAATATTTAATGTGTTATACTTTTAATTCTGTATGTAAAGTTATTTGACTAATTAAAAAGTAGAAAGTAGGAAATCAATAAACAATATTACTAGTGATCCCCACATACTATATAAAAATACAGAAAATACGCTTAAATATACATTCATTATATGAGTCTGTAGCTATTCTAATGCTTTCAAAAACACCTCAAATTATGTTACACAGTGGGAAGTTTACCCTATGTGGCACTGCACAGCAGATAAAACTGTCACAAATGTCTTTAACTTTTAATATTATTGAACGGGAAAGCATTAACATGCAATAGCTGTTAAAGCTTTCCCATTCAATACCACATTAACTATTGCTTGCACTCGTCGTGAAAAGGTTCAAGGGTGCGGAAGTCACGCCAGGCGGGCGGCAGTAGGGACGTGTGGTGTAGGTGACACCCACACCGTTTACATTGCTCACTGAATAAGTTCACATAACTATGTAACCATGTCATAAATGAGCGGACTGCTAACTCAGGCAATGTTGGTGAGTAAAAATGCAGCATTGCTGCATGAGCATTCTCCGTAACCTTTCTGAAAACATGGTGCCTAGACTCTGTCCAAAGATCCAATGTCTCACCATAGCCTTTTACCATCACCCATTCCATCAGTAACCCCTTGAAGGCTACCACTGCTTTTAATACATGACTCAGGTTAATAGTAACTACTGCATTGCTAGCAAAAGGCCGAGATATAGTTATCTTCATGTCATTGTATGATCTATCTATGTTATTAATGACATTGTCTACTTGCAATGGAGCGACATTGTGATTGCTTTGAAGTTTCCCTCGGCGTTTTGTGCTTCCAGAATTTATGTAGGAGCGCTTCAAAGAATTTTGGCTCAGAAGCGTATGTGCGAAAGAGCTGTATTCGTGGATTTTATCAGTCCATTTGTAACTATTTACAAGTTGGGTGTATAACGCCTGTCGATCTTGAGTTGTTTCTTGACTTAGGTAGGTGGTGTTGCCGAGATTAAATGGTACCGGTATAGGAAGTCCATTGACAGTTTGTTCTAAATCACGTAGGTTGATATTCACGCTATTTAGAAGCTCTTGAAGCTCTATGAGAAATTTATCTTTACCATCTTCGCCGTGATCGGCTCTCAGGCCATTTGAAAGAGTTTCAAAAACATGGCTAACACTAGATCGCAGAGTTCGGAGAGATGTTAGTGCTGAATTTAATTGTTCTACATTTATTGCTTGATTCATTTTGTATTTAATTTTATTTCATAATACAGAATACAAACAATAGGTACGAAGCAAAAATCTTCATGAAAGACGAGAACTGACGTTCGTTACTCGTTTTAGATATGTCAAAAATTGTATTTTTTGGATTTTATGGCCCGGTATCGAAGACCATTAGGCCATCGAAAATTGTTCATAATTATTACTATTCTAAGGCTGCTAATGCAAGAAGTTGAAAAATTTCTAACATTTAACAAAGGTCTTTTTATATAAGCTTTGTTAAATAAAAATCTGTAAGTATCAATCAATCATAGATTGTGTGTTAAAAGTTATTAATGTAAAGTAAATTATTTAGAAAATATTTAATGCCTTCTTCGTCTTGTTTCAGCTTAACATTTTATTCCGCATAATAATTCCAAAGACGGTGAATTGCTTTAATTCTATTATTATCAAGTTTGATTCACAGCAGCAGCATCACGTAACATTATATAATACTTGTTAGCACCCGGAGTTGACGGTGGACATATCCCAAGGATCAGTAACTGTTCCGACCTAAACTTTCCCTTCTATTCCTTAAACGACCTAGTTGAAGGCATTGACGTATCTAGGGTTATTTTCCAGGGCGAGCCTGGGCCATAATTACAAACAAAAATCGAACACTAGGCGTCGCATTAAAAAAATAACAGTTCGTTATCGTTAATTATTTTTAGTAATTTATAATACATAGTAGTATTAAGTAATTACTAGTTAATACGTTGCGTATTCACAGGTAAATAAACGGTAAAATACGGTTGTAAAATAGTATGTAATAAAAATAAGTATCTACATAGATTTCTCGGCTTTAGATAACTATTTGATTTCAATGATTCTTTATTAAGTTTCTTAGCTATCCAGCCTAGAATTTCGAATCAGTAACCCAAAATCCTGGGATGGGCACTAGACAATACTGGGGTGGGAATGTCCCACCCGGCCCCCCTGCTATATACGCTTATGGTTGAAGGGTTTCGAAAATGGGTATATATATATATATATGTATATATATGTCTATGTACAGCTTATATCTTACCTTGAAAAGAATAACATACTCCCTGCGGTGCAATCGGGTTTCCGTTCACAGCATAGCACAGCCACTGCATGATTGATGTTGTGGATGATATTTTAACATCGAGTGATGTAGAAAAGGGCACTATACTCACCCTTATTATTCACGTACTTTCGACACAATAAATTCTCTTCTAAAATGTCCTACTCCACTTCTTTTTTCTAAAATGTCCTATTATGGCTTCGACATAACGGTTATTAAATGGTTTGTCAGTTACCTTACTTGTCGATCCCAAATCGTTGAACTAAGTAACATGGATGACTCAATGTTAAGGTCATCTCATTCAATCGTCGAAATAGGTGTTCCACAGGGATCAATCCTAGGACCCATTTTGTTTATTTTATATACTTCAGATATTATTAATATAGTAAAACATTGTAAGTTGCAAATATACGCTGATGACCTAAAATTATACATTAGCACAAAAGCGGAATATACTAACCTATCTACACAGAAACTGAATGAAGATCTCAGCCGAATAAGCGAATGGTCAGTTAAAAATGCGTTAGTTTTAAATCCTGTAAAATGCAAATGGATGATACTTGGTAGTAAAATGCAAGTAACTAACATCTCAATACATGATCCCCAAGTAAAAATTGATGGCGATTTAATTGAACGGGTTACTGAAGCACGGAATTTGGGGATCAAGATGGATACTGATCTGCGCTTCGAGGGTCACGTACTTGATATTGTACGTAACGGTTTCTATAGGTTAAAAGTTCTCTATCGCATACGTGATTACCTTAGTGTTAGCCTACGTGTTAAATTGTGTGATTCCCTCGTAATGTCGAGACTTAACTAAGCTGATACAGTATACGGCCCCCGAATATTAGCCAGAACAGATAAACTAATTCAGCGACTTCAGAATGCATGTGCCCGCTTTTGTTTTAAAATACTACCACGTATACACGCCA